AGCTTTAGAAAAATTTTCAAGCAACTACAATTTAGTGTGGAATTCATTGTCTTAGTAAACAAAAACTATATTTTCTTTCAAGAATCCCACACTAAATCGTAATCATGGATAGCCTTTAATGGTTTAACCCTTCCAGCATGGTTGATACAATTTCTATCACTTTGACAGTGAAAGGACATATATGTAAAAAACATGCGGTAACTCTGAGTGTTCGACCTTTAACAAAATCTTATGAGGTTTTGTGATAATGTCATTCTTTGTGTACAAAATACTTGTGACCTTTAACAAAATCTTATGAGGTTTTGTGAACAAGTATTTTGTAAACAAAGAATGACATTATCATAATTACATCTTTCTAATAAAAATTTTATTTATCTATAGTAGTTATTTACACTTAAACTGTTAAAATAGGTCGAGGGCAAGATTATTTTCATTTTAAGTATAAAAATACTTTTCTTTGTTTTATAGTTTTCGTAGTTCATTTGCATAATCTCTAGAACCTCTTAAAAGGATATCAAAAGTTTTTTTTAAGGTAAAATATATATTTTATTTTTTATTTTCTCTATCATATCACTAACTAGCTATTATCATTGATATACAATGGAAAGAAATAATTGAAATTAAGAAATATAAAAAAATACATACCTACCTTTTAATTTGTTGTAGGTTTTCATTTGTTAAATTCATAATTTCACGTCTTTTCCTTTTCACATATAGTTAATTTTTAATGTTTCGTTTTCCTTTACCACTTCTTATTCATCTCGAAAAAAGGCAATGGTGTCCTCTAGGCATATTACACTTTCTTTGGGAGACGTGCACAACCCATCGGCAAATTTTTGTTCAGCTCGTAATATTGTAAGCCTTGAGAATGGATGCAAGCTATGATGTATATTTCAAAAGTGTGTAAGCTTTTTAATTATACATTTTAAAATATAATTAACTAAAATATAATAGTAAGACCTAAATAAAATTTAAACTGTATCGCCAACTATAACATATTTAGGTCAGAAACAACTGTAAGTGCTATAGTCGATCAAGCAGCCAATAATACTACAGTCAATTACATGTACTCCATGATGACAACTTGGCACCAATTTCAAAATAATCATTGTTAGTTTATAGTGTAAAATGAGCTCTTCTTAATGAATATACACATGTGTATGTAACATCTATATGTAGGCTATAAGGCTCAAACAAATCTGTTGAATGTGGGTATGACAGCTTTCAGGGGTTAAAAAAATTTATTACCTGTTTCAACTGTATTCATTTACAGAACTTTGAAGTGAACAAGTCAAAAGGTTATGTAAGCATCTTATTGTCTAGACTACCTCTACTCAAATACCATTGTATTATTGAAGATACAGAGAGCCAAAGTAGGGAATTTTCATAGCTCTTTGATCACGTAACAATACATCTGAAGTTTTAAGTAGTTTTTTAGAGGTTTATTTTGAAATCAATGACATTGGATAAAATAAAACTTCAAATCATAACATACATTTTAATGTTAATTTCATTCATATACATTGATATTTGAATGTAGAAAAGTGGTGGATACAGCACAGACAGCTCAATGTGGAGGTTTGCACTTAACAACAAAGAAACTGGGAATTAGTAACAAACTTACAAAATGTGGATTTAATTTTTTTTTTCTGACAAAAGAATTTGTCAAATTTTTATTTTCATTTTTTCTGGTTCATGGCAAAAACTTATATATTCTGTAATGCATATAAAATTAATACAATGATTGCTGTATATTATTTTTACATATATTAACTTTTCAAGATAATCTAATTCAGTATTGTTTCCACAAGGACTGATTTGTGATACATGTTTACTATTTCCTCGTAGTTGTTTTCTATTGTATCATTTAAATGTTTTCTTCCATTCTCCATGTTATTTTTCTGTATTAGGCTCTGTTACTATGATATAATTGTTTGATATTCAGAATAATAATATTTTTAAAATCAAGTTGACTTACTTCTGAAGTACTGAAAATCTTTCTTATTTGAGTTTCAATTCACGCTGTCAACAAAACTTGTGACTAAATATTTCCAAATGTCCATTATGCATATGTCACCCTTAATTTTCTGTGCTCTCTCACCTTCTACATGACTTATTGGAGCAAGCATCAGGAGATCTTACCTATATAATTTCTAGCCATAATTCACATTTTCTTCTTGACAGCCATGCTATTCACTTTGCTGGAATGTTCTTTCTGATGCAACTATTTTAACCACTATCAGAATTTTATAACTTATACAGAATTTTATAACTTATACAGTTACACTCAGTACTGAATTTCATCATTGCATGGATAATTGGAGGATTCTTGCTCGGTGATTATCTTACGTTGAATGGCTTCCTAGTTCACATCTTCTCTGGCATTCATTGGTCATGAGTCCAAGTCTCATTCACCTGAGATTTCATATTAACACTCGTTCATGAACTCTTCACCAAATGTCTTTGAAAACTAAAAACTATTTTCAGCTCCTAGAGTTTTTAATGCCCATAATTTTTCATCTGTTACACATCCTCTTTGGTTTGGGAATGGTGGTTTCTTATTACCTGGCAATTTCCATGGATCGTGCATGCTTAAGATACTTTCAGTGGGATCTTGTCCCTTCATGGAGTCTAACCTTACACTGTTGTCTATTGCAATTTCTCCTTTTGTTGTCTTTTACCTTCCAATGTGAATCATTGTGAGATTTGACATCTTAGTTTCCCCTTTTCTTCTTCTGGAGTTTTTCACAGATACCTCTCTCCAGGGCTAAGATGATGTTTTGGGGACCATTACCTTTAGGGTGTATGTTTTCTCAAATATCCCATTTTCACATCATTACATAAAAGTTTTGGGTTGTTCCACATGAATTTCAGCAGTTTCTACCCTAATTACACCCCCACTGTGTTGTAGTACTCACAGATACTTTGACTGTTCAGACATATATGAACAAATGAGATGGGACTCAATCTCTCAGCCTTTGTTTGCTGTGATATTTATACTTTTTCTGGCCACTTTCACATCATGTTTTTCTTTGAACTGGTATTTAGTTGGTTGTGCCAATGTCATCGTAAGCTTGATGCACTCATGATGGCAGTGTGTCATATTTTGGTGTTTTCCTGGTTTCCAGGTTACGTTTCTCTAGCAATGGATGCTCTGGGAAGATATTTCTTTCTCTGTGTGTACCCTCTCTTTCCTCTTGTTTCTCTTGGGTATTGGTCAAAATCAGTTTATCTCATAGTCCAGTTCTTATTACCCTAGATATTGCATTGGTTGACTTGTGGGTTTGTCTGCTTCTATTGCAGGCTACAGAGCCACATTCTCAGTCACTTTCAGTGCCATATAATTCTGTCATATACTTCTGTGACCTCATTTCTTCAGGTTCTTTTTCAAGTTTTATGTTTTTAGTCCATCTCCCACAAGTATATAGACATTATCCTCAGTGGGATTTAAGTCTGGTCTTAAGTTGCCTGGCTTCTCCCTTTGAACCCTTTGCAACTTGTTCACTCTACCATCTTCTGTGAAGGCATATTTTATTGTTTTAGTTGCTACATTGTGGAGAAGTTCAGATTTCGTTTTTTTTTTTCCATTGATATTTCTCATACTCTTTTTTCAAGGAAGCATATGTATTTACATCCTGTTAGAGCCTTTCTGTGTGAGACATTGGCTGTAAGATATAGTCACTGCTGTTTTTTCTCCTTTTTTATTACTTATTTTGCAAGAATAATATGTTTTCAAACGAATCAACATTGGTTTTTCATACATTAGGTTGATTCTCATTCTATGGATCCTGCACTAGCCATGTTAACAAGGTGTTTTTTGCAGCTGATCCATCTTGTTTATCATGATATTCCTAACCATTGTAAATGTGGATCTCAGGTTACATTTTATCACATTCACCATTTGGTAAAGTCTTTGGCTTTCTAGTCTCTGTACCATTTAGTGGACATCTTTCAGGCCAGTATGGGATTGAAACTGTGTATATTTTATGCTATTTTACATTTATCATATCACTATATCTTTAGTTTCAAGATTCCATTTACTGCCTTTGTATTCTTCAGACTTGAGAGAATTTATCTTTCGGCTCTATAGCTTTAATACACAATTATCACCCACAAAGCGTACTTCTTTGCTTGAATTAAAGGTTTTACGGGTGAAGAGTTGTACTGCTGAGGTGGATCAATGATAAGTATGGACTTACAATGTGAAAATTAAGGGTTTGATTCCCTGCAGTGGATAGATTACACATTAGCCGATTCTGTAGCCTTGCGCTAAGAAAACAACCTTTATGCTGGTCTGCTTCACTCATTCTCCCTTGACTCCAATTCTGCAAATTATTGTGTCACTCTGGATTCTGCTTAGACTCTGGTTACATATGTATTGTAATCTAGATACTTATCATCCTGTCCTGTAGCTTGTAGTTTTATATTTTCAGTTTCATTCTTTGTTAATCAGTTCCCACCTCCTTTACAGTGTGGGTATTCTCGCTTTCATTATTTCAGAGGTCAGTCTACCTGATTTGAATTTTACATTTTTAGTACTTACCTCTAAAATACCTTTTCTCCTGTCTCTTTACAACCAAATTTTAATCTTTACTGCAACTTTCAATAAAATCTAAATCATGGAAGGAAAGCAGAGTTACGTAAAAGCCACTGATAGTTGTGTTTTCACTTACACATATATCTTCTACTTCCACTTGAGTTATCTTTTACCCATTGCACAGCATTCATATTTGGAAGTGTTTTAGTCACATTTTGTTAACAACATGAGTTTTTAGTAAGAGCTCTGTTAAGTTTTCCTCCACTGAGCATAAATTTTGCTTTGTAATGAAAAGGTGAAAGAGTTTATTAATGAAAAAGATGAATCCAGAGCGAAAATTGTTGAGGAGCAGATTCTGGAAGTCTGGGACCGAATCTATCATATGTGGAAAACTAAAAATGCCACCATTGTTCTATCTTCACAACATGGAATGTCTTGGAATGACCTAGTAGATGGAATGAAAACATTAAATCTTACCCTTATAATCAGTTATATCCAACAAAATATTGGCACTTTGATATCGGTGAGTCATAATTTAATCACCATGGTTTGGGCAGTGCCCTTTTTCGAGTAGTATATTGCTGCACAGTTACAACTAAATTGTGCAACACTGCATGAGAAGGAGAACTGCCCAAAATCTCAGATTTAAAGTAATAAAAAATATATCACCTGTTTAAATTTGTTTTTAATTTCTTTATTAATTACATTTAGTTTATTTTATTTTACACCATGCATATATTAGGTCGTCAAGAAATTAATGTCGCTTTTTTTTACATAAAAAACCCCAACAACTTATATATATCAAACAAAACATTTATTAAATGAAATGATTTCCATTCTTATCTATGATGCTTTTCCATCTTACAATCGGGTTATTAATGTCTTGACTAAAGAAATCACTTGGCTTTGAAGCAAAAAACATGTTGATATCCTCTTTAACACCTTCCACATTTGCACACATTTTCCCATGAAGATGGTATTGCAGTGAATGAAAAAGATGGTAATCTGATGGTGTCATATCTGGAGAATATTGTGGGTGGGGAGAACAAACCAACCCAACTCCATAATTGTGTGTTGAGTCAAACGTGCCACATGTGGACGTGCATTGTTGTGGAGAAGAAGAACACCTTTCCAATTGATGAGTGAAGAGCATTTCTCATAAAGGGCTTGATTTAAATGTTCCAGTTGCAGACTGTAGATCTCTGCACTGAGAGTTTGCTGTGGATTGAGGAGTTCGAAGTGAATTACTCCTTTGAGGTCCCATCAAATGCAAAACATCGCTTTCTGTGGATGGAGACCAGGTTTTGGGGTTGGAAGTGGTTTTTGTCTAGGACTGAGCCATTGTATTTGGTGTTTAATATTTGCATAGAGAATCTATTTTTCATCATCAGTGACAATTCTGTTCAAAAATGGTTCATGCGCATTACGCGCCAGAAGAGATGAAGCAATGCTCATACGTTGGAAAAGATTATCAGCGGAGAGTTTGTGAGGCACCCAAACACTTTCTTTAAGGAGTTTTTCCATATTTCTTAGATGTTTACGTATTGTTTCATGACAGGCGTGCAATTTCAGGGCCATTTCACGAGTGTGTTGCCCTGGGTTAGATTCAACAAATGTCTCCAGAGCATAAATATCAATTCCAACATATTGGCCCCTCCCATCACAGTTTTTAAGGCTAAAGTCACCTGAACAAAATTTGCTGAACCATCGTTGAGACTTATAAACATCCAAAACATTTCCATAAACTTCTTTGATATTCTTTGTGGCCACAGAGTCATTGTTTCTCTTCTTGTATTTAAACAGCATTACATGCCAAATGTGTGTGTCGTCGTGTGCCATCA